TCAGCCCTCGTCCTGCCTGGACCACCCCTCCTCCCCATCAGAGAGAGGCCTGTTCATGGCCGTGTGGAGCCGACACCCCCCGTGACCCGATGAAGAGGGACAAGTGGACACAAGGGAACGATGCTCTGTGGCCCGGCTCGGGGAATCCGAGAGCAGGACCCGGCCTGAGCAGGGCTCCTGGAGACAGGACTGGAGCCCGGACCCCGGGGAGCTGGGGGGCAGGCCCGTGGGCGTTCTAGGTGTCGCAGCTGGTGAGCCTCCGCCGATGCATCCCCCCTCCTGGTTCCCTTGGGGGCTTCTTCCTACTTCCTGCTACCGGCTGCCCGCCCTCCTGCCCCCAGCCTTACCCTGGACGTGTTATCTGGTTGTCCATAGATCCTGTAGGTGCCTCCCCATATCCCTCAGAACTGACAGCGTTGGTGTGTGAGGGCCACTTCCAGCTGCCAACATCTGCATGCCTTCATTCCCGGACGGCTGCAGTTCCGGGGAGTTAATGCCGACGAGGAGCAGCTGTCATCCGGTGACGATAGGGATTGGTGTGTAAACACCCCAGCTCCCTGCCCTCGGGTGGGGACTTTCCCAAGCCTTCCTCCCCATCCTGGAAAGTCCTGGCGCCCATGTCGATGTTGTGTTTGCAGCACCAGTCAGTCCCTCCCCACTGAGTCCACAGCTGACACGCAGTAGGTGCTCAGGATGTGGAAATGAATGAATGAATGAGTGAGTGCAGAGAATGCCCAGGTTTCAGGGCTGGGCGTTGACTTGACCTTCGCTGTGGTAAAATATGACCTACAATCGACCCTTTCAACGGCTGTTAGTGTACAGTTGGGTGGCGTTCAGCACATTCACGTGGTTGTACAATCATGACCCTCCGTCTCCAGAGTTTTTTCATTTTTGCAAAACTGAAACTCGGCCTGATAAACACCAGCCCCCCATCCCTCCCTCCTTGCAGCCCCTGGCACCCACCACTCCACTTCCTGCCTCTGTGACTTAACTGCCCGAGGACTCTCACGCGAGTGCGATGACATGGCACTTGTCCTGGTATCTGGCTTGTTACCCTCAGCATAACGTGTGCCAGTCCACCCATGTCGCAGCGTGGGCCCGCATTCCCTTCCATGCTAGGGCTGAGCGGTGTCTCACTGTGTGCACAGAGCACACCTTGTTCAGGCGTTTGGTCAGCGACGGACACTTGTCCTTGGAAATCCAGCAAATTAAAGAGTAGTGTGATGCCAGGGGGTGAGCAGTGCTGGAGAGGGAGCAGCTTGGCTAGCGGGCTGGGGCATGGGCGGTGCGTGCACGTGCGTGTGTGCACGTGCGTGTGTGCACGGGGCGCAGGTGTGTGGGTGCACGTGTGTGTGTGCACGGGCGCAGGTGTGCGGGTACACGTGCGTGTGTGCACGGGCGCAGGTGTGTGTGCACGCACGTGAGTGTGCACGTGTGCGTGCGTGTGCATGTGTGCGCTCACGTGCCGGGATTGTAAAAGATGGGGAGAGCTGGTCTCCTCACTCGAACCCCGTCCCCATGCCCCAGCGCTGTCCCCTCTCCTGCCTGACCTTGGGTCGTTAAGGCACAGAGGGGCCGCAAGGAAGGAGCGTAAAGACTGTGGAGAGGCCTTGGCGGGGCGGGCAGCAGGGTTTCTCCGAACCTCAGGGGCCTGGGGGCCTGGGAGCACCTCCCCTAAGCGCAGCAGGTGCTGGGACAGCCAGGGGCCTTCAGCATGAAGCTCGCTCCCCTCGCCCTACGCCATCAGGCCCTGGCCCCGCTGGAACTGTCTCCCCAACCTGGCTCCCAGGCTGGTTTCTCCGGACCCAGAACACTTCTCTTCCCGCGAGCCCTCCGGGGTGGTCCAGGCTGCCGCCACCTTCTAGAACAGAGCGCGGCACCACGCAGATGGCTGGTGAGTGGGTGTTGGATGGATGATGTTAGATTCTGCCAAACCACCCTCTTGAACTTAATTTTTTTATCCAGGGCCACTGAGTTTTGCCTCTCTCTGCCTTCCCCCAGGGTCCACGGCCCACAGCTGTGACCCCAGCGTGCCCCCGGCCCTGGCAGCCAGACAGCTGATGCATGCAGAGGCGCATCTCCGTGCCCGGCCGCCTGACCGCCTGGCCTGGCCAGATCTGAAAGCTAATGACATTATTGTGCAGACACAATGTCTGTGGGCATTCGCTGACCTGGCCTTTGGTGCGGGCTTAATCCCCCATTCTCGCCCTGCTTTCCCGGGGGCCGCAGTCTTGGCACCGGCCACCCCGGGGGGAGGTATAAAGGCCACTCCCGCCGGCCGGGCCTCACAGGCGCGCTCGGGCAGGTGTCGCTGGTAAGAATGCCTCTCTCGCCCACCTGGGCTTTTCCTCGCGTGCTCATCCCGGATGGAGACTCGGGGGCCTGGGTTCGGTCCCAGATGCCGCTACTTCCTGCCAAGGTGACCTGGGCAAAGGCTTCGGCGCTCTAAGCCTCAGCTCTAGGGCAGCCTGAGACCAGGCAGATAAAGGCAAGGCCTGCAGTGCTGGGGCCCAAGGTCCCCCAGGTGAGAAAGCCGAGGGCCCAGGAGGGTCCTCACTGCCGTTCCCCCACACCCACCCCGCCCCCGCTGTGTCCTCCAGGTCATTCTTGCACAGGACAGCCCACCATGGCCTCGGACCACCAGACCCAGGAGGGCAAGCCACAGCCCCTCAACCCCAAGGTAGGTGCCACGTGGGTGCAGGGGGGTACAGGGGGGCCTGGCAGAGCTCCTCTACCAGACTCAGTTTCCCTTCTGTAGAGTGGGGTTGGCATCTGCCTTCCTGGGCCTCCCTCTCTCTGCCTCTGCCCCTCCCTGTGCCTCAGTCTCCCCACTTCCATGGGGCGCAGTGGTGGGGGTGGGCGCTGATTGTGAAGGCTCCTCCCTGGCCCACGACCGGCAGGTCAGAATCCCACACCAG